ATGATTCTGATGGCCTAAGCTTATTATGCATGTATATTATCGTTATTTTCTTTCTTGTTATCCTATTGGGTTAGCTATTAGAATATGATATAGTTTCTATTTGCAGTAGTATATTCCTGACTCAGCGACCTAGAGAGCATGTTATACTCGGTTCATTATTTTGTAGTGACACCCCCTCTGTCTGGGGACACTACATTCATGCATGTATGCAGGTCTTGAGCGATGATCAAATAGACCTGCCGAGTAGCACAACCATCTATTGACTACTTTCTTTCCGGCCCCAAGGGTTGTTAGAGATCAAGCAGGTGGCCTTGACGGCTCAAACATGAATTGTGTGATAGCTAGTTATACTTTATATGAATTGTTGAGAATAATTGTTTTCTTTGTAGAGTTATTGGCAAAAGCCTTGCCAGTCGAGGATTTACTTTTAAGTCGAGATATACTTATTTGTTTTCTTGACCGTATACGATTGCTAGGCCCCACTAGCAAATGGTTTAACAAGAGCATATTAGACCTAAGTTTTGACATTACTAATGACAGATGACAGATCCATCTTACTAATGTTTGGGGCGTGACAATTAATGGGTTAATCATTTAGAAAGTTACAAAGTTTGGCATTGAGTTGACATTGTGAGAATAATGATATAATATTATGCAAGTATAATGTATAAAATATTACTGCTAACAAAAAGGAATGTTGACTTTGACTTGTGACTTTGTCTATGCTATATGGTGAAGCACTACAATTCTGCTGGCACAGCTAATCACATAGATTCAATACAAATAGCCAGTGGCCATGTGCATTCTAATATGTTTCAAGCGTAAAACTTGAGAAAATTATCTATTATTATAAAGATTGATTTGGTGAAAATTAGCCTCTAATTACAACTAGCATTGTATTTAATACAAAGAAGTATCACTACAAAAAAACAAAGATTTTTTCAATAGTAAATCAGTGGGAATTTTGAGCTGTAGAATATGATTTTTTTGTATATTTTTGATCAAATCGGATCACTAGGAAAATGCATGTTGAAAATATATTATCATTGAAATAGTGAAAAAATTTCAATTTTTTTCATATAAAAACATTACTCTCTTTTTTTTCTCACTAATTTAATCAAACCATCTCTGAGAATAACCAATGAACATTTTTCAACAGAAAATTCAGCGAGAAAAAAGTGATTTTTTAATAATGTGCAGAAGCCATCAGTTTATGACCACCATATTTTGACTCGTGACCCTTATTAAATATAAGTCATCTAAACATTGAAAAATGAATAGTTTTTAATAGCAAGGATAAATAGACATAACATAGTAAATTATTCATTGGTATTATAAACGGGACAAGTATTGTTGGACATTCTAAAATAGTATAGTGGACAAGTAAAGATGAATGGAAGGAGTAGTATAAAATAATATTTATATTATCAGTATAATTTAATTAACTTGCAACAGTAAATTACTTACTTATTTTAGGGTTTCTTATTTAACTCATAATTATGAGAAGTTGCTTGTTTTATATTCTAGATTATCAATTCGACTTATTATGAGTAGTTATGTATTTGGTTACTAATTCTACTTATTATAAATCTTATAAATAATATATAGATGATATGTATGGAAGCTTACTATATTATTGCTCTTATTTTTCTTAATATAAATATTTTTTTTTATTATTGGTGTAATGATATTCATATTTTATGCTATCATGTTTTTCAGGTTGTTGTAATTTTATTGAAAATAAATAAATAAATAAATAAAACAACTCTCATAGAAAATGACATTGGCATAAATAGTTTTTTAGATATTCGAAAATATATTTAACTGTTCTTACTTGTTACTACTGCAGTATACAACTACATGCCAGAAAAAGGTGGTTTAATAGTTTTTTATAAACTTACCATTTACCAACATGAAAATCTTTCTGAATGTCATTAATCTTGAATCTAATATGAAAAAACATTCAAAGTAATTGAAGAGTTTATTGCATTCCAAATGATTGATTGCTGTCATCCAGAAAGTAAAAAAGTTGGTATTTGGATCATGTGACAATTTTGTCAAAAAATTTAATCTATTAAAGAAATCACACTTTTATTTATATAATTATGTCGAAATAATATGTCATCTCATGTGGAAGCCTGATTCTTTTATACGTAAGCTAAGCACATAAAAAATCTTTTAAATAATGAATTGTAGTGAGACTCAAACGCAACACCTCTCTGCTTGACACCATGATAAATTGTGTTACTAAATTCCATTGTGTGACCATCCTAGTGAAACAATTCAATAACACCGACTAATTCAAATTCATACCACGCCGCATAAAATTGAGATATTCCTTGGACGTCATTCATAAGGATCACCACCAAATTCCCAAGGTGGAAGGAGCTAGCTCATGAAAAGTGTTTGAAGTCCTGAATAAATTCATACTTCATATTGGACAACCTGATATCCTTTGTATTTTAAGTATTGCAACACATTCATCTCATCTAAAAATTTAAAAGTGAGTATAGTTTCTCTTATTTTATGGTCAATTAGCATGTAAAAAAGTAAATCAATTTATGTAATTCACTTTCACTATAACTTTATTTTATTTTTAAAATTTCTGATCCAAAATAAGTTCTAAATATTTGTAATATATATATATATATCATTGGGGATAGGCTTGACACTTATATATCATGTTTATTCATCAAAATGAGAAATATAAAATTAAAATATTTTCCTAATATAAAAATATATATTTTTTTAAATGGACTAAAAAATATATCATATAAACAGGGGTAAAGTACTGACTCTTTCAATTACATCCCTAATGATATGTTCAAGTAGGGGTGTACGTGATCGGGTTGGTTCGGATTTTTCAAATATCAAATCAAATCATTTGTGTAAAAAATTTAAATTTATAAATCAAACCAAACTAATAAAATTCGGATTTTTTCGGGTTTTTCAACCTCTGGTTAGTTCGGATTTTTCAAATACCAAACCAAACCATTGTGTCAAATTTTTAAATTTATAATCAAACCAAACTAATAAACCTCGGATTTTTTCAGATTTTTTTATTTTTTCAGTAAAGTTTGCATACAAACATATAATTAACTTGTGCTCCAAATATTTCTTTAGTCCAACCAAAATACAATTATCTAAGCTGTTTCTTAAGAAAATAACACAAAATATGAGATGAGTACGGATGACACTAAAATATTCAATAAAAAATAATAATGAAATCATCATAAAATAAATATTGCAAAGTCATATTGAAAATGATCATAATTTAAAAGTACTAAATCATGCTATTATAAGTTTAATAATTATTAGTTACATTACTAAATATTTAAGGAAAATTAAAATTAGATTATGTATTTTAATTGTCTAAACTAATGTAAAACTAAAGAACAAATATTCAATATTATTGTCATTCTTAGTGTTTAATTGATTTTCTTTTTGCATTAGTATTAATTTGATTTTGATTTAAGTTTTATTATAATTATCAACATCTATGAACTATAATCTTTATTGGACCATTCCGAATTCTAAGTTTTAAACTTGAAATAATATATTAAAAGATAAAAACTATGAAATAGTATAAGAAATATTTTAAAATTATATCAAAGTAAATATTTTTATGTATAAAATAAAATTTTAAAATTACATATATAATGTCGGGTTGATTTTTTTTAGTTAAAACCAAACCAACCCAAATAGTCGGTTTTTTTTTTTTCCAATACCAAATCAAATCAAACCAAACCACTAGTCGAGTTTTTTTTTTCCGGTTTGACTCGATTTGCGGTTTGGTTTGATTTTCAGTTCGGTTTTGTACATCCCTATGTTCAAGACTATAAGTTATACAAAATAGAAGGAGTCATTCTGGTCTGAAGTTTGTCACTTATATTATCAAATTTAGGGAAAAGAGCATGGTATATCTTTTAACTTTGTGATTTAAAATTGATATATGTTTCGTTATAGAAGTGACTGATATATATCTTTATCATTACAAAAATGGCTCTTATATATCCTTATCATTATAAGAATGGCTCTCATATATATATATATATATATATATATATAGCCATTTTTTAAAATGAAAACATTAATTTTAAATTTACTTTTTTTATTTAAAAAAATTCCATATAAGGGTATATGTGTTCCTTCTAGCAAAGTCAAGAGTATATTTGATTTTTCTCTTACAAGCTTTTTCTTTTACTTCTTTTATTCAACGGCTAATTTGAGTTTTATATATATATATATATCTTATAGTTCTATTTGCTTGTCATTATCTAGTAACTTATTCTTATCTAATTTTTTCTTTCATTTTAAGTGTAAAAATATTAGAATTTTTTTAAAAAATATGTATGGAATAGGAGCTATATTGTAATTTCGTCTTTGTATTTGTAAAAAAATTTGGGCATCCATGATAAATTTTACAAGAAAATGAATCAAAAAATAAATTTAGCCATCAAAATAATAAATTTAAAAATATTTTTAAAAAATACAAAAAGTTAATCTAAAATTATTATTTTTCCACTGTTGTTAGACTAAAAGGGTATACCTGACCATTTGTGTAACAGTAAGAATATATATAAACCTCTTTTATAACGAGAGATATATTAGCTCTAAATCACAAATTTGTCAAGGGTATATCATGTCGTTTTCCCTCTATTTTGAGGATGCATGTGAGTTGACTTTGAAAAATTAGAAGAAGAAAAAAAAACAAAGGTAGGAGAAAGATAGAGTAGAGTGACCACTTCAAACTTTGAACTGCCTTCATTTGAGGGAGATAACATCCAAATCCAGCAATGCATGTAATCATATAGTATAAAGTTGTACATACTATAATTGACAGTTCATCAATTAGTAATAATTAATTTGAATATGAGCATATTGTAGTTTAATATTGTTACACGATAGTACATGTCTCTAAGTTACAAAATTATTTTTCTTGTCTAAACTCAACTATATAAATAAGTTTACAACTTCTCCATTATACACACAATTAAAATAAATAATATACTTGCTAGCCTAAGTTTATAGTTTTCCTACAATGTCTGCAAAATCAGCCGTAATTGGAACTCCGGCGGCGGGAGAATGGACCACCGGATTATGTGGTTGTTTTGATGATGCATCGAACTGTAAGAACCCTAATTTTTTCAAAATCAAATATTGGTGATTTTTCTGAATTTTAATCGGTTAGTTTTGATTATTTACAGGTTGTGTCACTTGTTGCTGTCCTTGTGTTACCTTTGGAAGAAATGTTGAGATAATTGATCAAGGAACTACTTGTAAGTTATTGTATTTTTCGTTTTCATAATTTTCCTTTAATGGTTTGTGGAAATATAGCTGAGGCTGAGGGACTCTTGGAAACAGTTTCTCTATCTCAATCGGCAAGGGCGGACTCAGGGGCCTATCTAGAGGGGGTGTACGTGAACCTATACTTCCCTCTCTAGATCACATATAATAGTGCTATATTTTAAAAAAATATTTAAATATAGATGTGTGAACCCCACGTTCAAAGTATCATATAATAATACAATGATGATTGGGTGCACCTCTCTAAGTGAGGATACAAATTTAAGTCTTATATCTATCTTGTCCTTTTGAGTAACATCTCTCCAAGTGGTTATCGGTTACACTTTTGATGTTTTAACTAATTTTTCTTTTTTATTTTTCCTTTAATCTTTCAAAAAATCTAAGTGTGTTATATTGAAAGTTCCTAAAAATTTTAGAACTGTAAAATCTTTATATAATTAAATCAAATGTGTATATTAAAATTTAAAACTAGCTAGTAATATTATATATTTTGGACATATAATATATTTTTAAATTTTAATGGCTCATATTAACCACCTAAAAGTCAAACTGGTAAAATTTATACTTAAGATGCATTTTTTTGTAATCATGCACTCATCTTGCCCAAATTCTAAATACGCCTCTCTGCGGACCCATCCTATATTAAGGGGTGTCGATATAAGAATCTGGAAAAATGAGAACATAGGTTCAAATAAAATTAATGACACAACTTGAACAAGTGAGCTTCCTTTGCTCGTTGGTTTACTCTCAACTGTCGCCGAGTTTGATCCTCAGCAAGCCCTAATTTGAGTTTTACTTTTTGGGGGCTTTTTAGATAAAAGTAATGTTGTAGAGATTCAAACGGTATTGGACACAATGATAAGTTGTACTGTTTTATACTTTAAATAGTTTTTATTAATATAATGTTGTTATATCAATAATTTATTTTTGAATATCGACACGTACAAAATTCTGTGTATGTTACTGTCCATGAGATAGTGATAAGATCTGCATACATTCTACTGGGTATGTTGTGGCGTCGTGACAATATGTATATTCATTAATGACTACATGATAATTTTGCAGCTTGTGTTCATGCTGGTGTAATATACTATTGTTTGGCTCATGTTGGTTGGGCTTGTATCTACACATGCACATATCGTACAAAATTGAGAGCTTTCTTTAGCTTGCCAGAAGACCCTTGTGGAGATTGCTTTGTCCATTGCTGCTGTCTTCCTTGTGCTGTTTGCCAAGAATACAGAGAACTCAAAAACCGCGGTTATGACCCCTCCCTAGGTATAATACATATATTATCATTTTTTAACTTTTTTATAGAGAAATGTTGGGATCGAAATAAGACGTTATACAACTTGAATATTCAGATCCATCTAACGTCACATAATTAATTAATAAAGTGTTTTATTTTGTTTTTTTCTCTTAATTTTATGCTCTTTCTTTCCAAATTTATGTGACACATTATTTTTAGTCCATCTCTAAAAGAATGTCACATTTCTTTAATTGCAAACCATTTAACTTTAAAATTACTCCCTCTATTTCATATTAGCTAGATTTTGAGGCTCTTTTCATTGTTTAAGTTAATTGAATTGTGCAAAGTTTAAGATGAATGTTTGAAATTTTTCTTTCATTTATTGAAGTTCTATATTTTCTAGGAGATAAATTACACTAGTTACAAAGTTATATTTATGATTTCACAAAGAATAATAATGAAATTATGTCCTTGAATATTTTTCTTAAGGGTAATGCTAAATGGCCATAAAATTTGGCCAGAAATTTAAAAAAACTATAATATTTTTTTTATTTTAAAATAAATTGATCTTTTTTTTCATTTTTTAGTTAAAAAGTATTAAAGTTAAAAGGGTAAAAATGTTTTAAAAGGTAAAATAACATAGGTAATATACCATTCTGGTCAAAATAATTTTTCTTTTTTTCTTAATATGTGTGTGTATTCGGTTAATATGAAATAGAAGTAGTACCTCTTTTTTTATCTTTAATGAAATGATTTATCGTCACACAAATGATCAAGTGAGTGTTTTAAATCACAAATTTCAAAAAAAAAAATTGTGTCAAGTCAAATGATATGTCAGATAAATTTAGTGATTATAACACATGCATTGGTTAAATTGATTTGAATTTATGATTGTAAAAAGGATGGATGGCTAACGCTCAGAGATGGAGTCAAGCTGGAGTTACTGTGCCTCCCCATATTGCACCAGGAATGAATCGCTAAAACACCTGCAGGCTCATGTGTTCTACTTTCTTATTTATTCTGTTGTTTTGTATCAAGTGAGAAATGTTTGCTTTAATTTCCTTATGAATAGTTGTGAACCTACCTTGTAGCTCTTAAATTTGTTTACTGCTATAAATAAAGTTCTCTTCTTCTTTCTCAAATCAAATTTTCAAGTAGCACATCAAGCTTATTCTTAATACTCCATTTATCCCATTTTATGTGGCACTTTTCGGATTTCGAGATTCAAACAAGTCTATTTTTTACCGTAAGTTTTTCATAGACTTTTTAAACATTTTGAATTATCAGTTTACAAATATATAATTTTCATTTCAAAAAATTTGACGATTCCATGCGCAAATTGTTGATAAACTTAAACTGTTTGACTCTCGAAAAACAAAAAATGTCACATAAATTTGAATAAAGGGAGTATATAGGAAATCTGAAAGATCAGATAATTATATTTCTATGATTTCATAGAAAGATAGCCCCCAATTAAAGTTGTCCATCATTTTTTGATGGCTTGTATGAGTCCACCACAAGTAATTAAGAGACCAGATACCTTGACAATATTATGAAACACAAAAATAGATACACTTAAAGTAAAGGACAAGGAAGTTTACTTGGAAACCTCCTTAGTCAAGGGATGAATAACCAGAATCTATCTCACAAAATTTAACCAACAACTTCAAAAATCAGAGAGTCAAAATTCAGATTACAAGCTCATGTAACCTAGAAATTAAACTCCTAATCTCTCCCCTTGTAATAACCCTATTACAAAATGAAACAAAGCAACAATTCTATTGCCCACAACACCAACCAACTCTAGTTGTTATAGACTTCAACAAACTCTTTAAAGCTAAATATGGCCATGAACGCAATAAACTAGATGTAAATGAAATGATCTGAATTCCTTTATAACACAGGAATAAATCTTATAATGTTAGGACTTAAAACACAATTCACAATCAAAACAACTTAAGACACTTTCACTGAAAGCTCTATGAGGTTCATTGTTGTTTTCGTGAGTTTATTCTTCTTTTGAGAAAAAAATGACTTTTGCTTTTTGGAATCTTGTTATGCAAAAATTAGGTTGTTTCTTGTCAAAGTGTCACGACCCAAAGTATACACTAAACGTGACATGACGTATAAGACCCCCAGAGGTCCTACACAAGCCACTTGATATACATACAACACAACATAAAAGACAAAAGTAGAAAGTCTCATATCATAAAAGAAATTGACATAAAATTGGAAGTCTAATCACATCTTGACAAGCCAATCTAATATATCAAAAGAGTGGTTGTAACATAACTCATATACCATGTACAACAACTTAAAACTAAAGACATAAGAAAATATAGTAAAAATGACACGATCCTCGGAACATGAGTACTCACCAAGTCTTCAATAATCAACCAATCAACTAGCCACCAGCGGGAGGAGAAGAATCATCGAATCCTTCAATATGAGACAATGAAGGCACAACTATGAATTAGTACATGAAATGTACTAAGTATGAGGAATATGCATAAGAACATGAAACATGATCATAAGGGGATTATGTGTACTAGTTAATCATTAGTGTATTTAGTGTTTTTCAAAATGTATAGTCAAAAACTAGGTAATGTTGGTATGCAATTGATATCGACTGAAAAATTTAGTCAAATCTTAGTATGAAATTGGTATACATTTGGTATCCAACTTATATCTCAGTGGTAAAATTTAAAAAATAGCATGTAATTGAGATTTCAATCGAAATAGCCAACTTAAAACTAGTTAATGTTGTATCTAATTTGTATACATTTGGTATCGAACTGAAATCCCATTGGAAAATTTGAAAAAAACAACATGTAATTGAGGTTTCAACCGAATTAGCCACCTAAAACTAGTTAATGTTGTACCCAATTGGTATACATTTGTTATCTAACTAATATCCAATTGAAAATTGAGATTTCAACTAAATTAGTCGGCCTAAAACTAGTTAATTTTGTACCCAATTGTATAGATTTGATATCAAACTGATATCCCATTGAAAAAATTGACAAAAAATATGTCATTGATATTTCAACCGAATTAGTCAGCTTAAAACAAGTTAATTTTATATCCAATTGGTATACATTTGATATCCAACGGATATCCCACTGGAAAAATTGAAAAATCAACATGTACTTGAGATTTCAACTGAATTAGTCAGCCTAAAACAAGTTAACGTTTGGTATCCAACTGCTATCCCATTGGAATTGTAAAACGAACATGTAATTGAGATTTCAACCAAATTAGACAACCTAAAACAAGTTAATGTTGTATCCAATTGGTATCCATTTGATATCCAACATATATCCCACTGAAAAATGAAAAAACCAAAATGTAATTGATATTTCAACCAAATTAGACAACCTAAAACAAGTGAATGTTGTATCCAATTTGTATACACTTGGTATCTAACTTGAAATTTTAGAACAAAGACTAAAAATAAAAATGTATGAAAATGGTATCCAACTGGTATAAATCTGACAATGTAAAATAACACATATTATATATTGTTGTCAAAAACTATAGCAAAAGAAATATACATCATCCAAAAAATCAAAACATGTAATAATTAAAAAGTCTAAACTACAATCAACTATTTCAAAGTTCATTCCCTTGGTCTTGGTGTAGGATAATTGGTAGTATCTAGAGCATGTTCTTTTGTTATGCGGGATCCACCAAATTTGCTAGCAACAGTTCCAGTTACTTCACTCTCACTAATTGCGTCATCAGCGTTCTTGCTTCTTCCACACTTTCATATGATTGTGGTGTACCTTTTACGATGGTACTTTGCATCAATGTGAATGCATAAAACCCGGAAATTTTTTGAGCTAAGACTTGAACAATCCTTCGTAGTGAGTAAATTTTTACCAAGGAATTTAAATTTTTCCTAAGTATTAAGGTCAGGTCACTAGATATAGCACCTTGAGTTCCAAAAAAGAATTAAAGAGAATCCATTCAAGTCATTCCTAGGTTCTTCTAAGTTTTGGGTCAAATTAAAATGACCATAACTCTCAGTACAGGATGAGTTAGATGGGCTACAAGATACTATATGAAAGGTCTTTGAATTATCGTTCCAGCGCCACCGAGTTTGCTAAATGTCGAGTTCGTATGAGGGAGATATTCCCTTTTTAAGTCAGGTTGTCCATTTAAGGAAAGTTACCCGAAAATAGGAGGGGTATTTTAGTCTTTCCTTACCCATACTTATTCTAAACGCGAATTTCACCTAATTATGAGTCTAAACTAATTAGAATCAGTTTCATTCATCTCCAAAGCATTTAGGGTTTTAGAGAGAAGATTCAAGAGGACAAAAAGTTCAAAGTTTCAACCGTTCGTTCAAGAAATTCAAGATTTCGCCAAGAACCTAGTTCTTTGAGGTATGTAAGCTTCCATAGTGTTGGGTTCATTCACCCACATGCCAATTATGATTTATTCAGCATCTTTCATTCTTGAAATTTAAGGATTTAAGTTCTTGATGAGTTCTTGATAAGTGTTCTTGAAGTTTCCTTATCGATTAAGTTTTGATGTAAGATTCTACTTGGATCAACTTCAAATGACCATATCTCTTAGAATATAAAGATTTACAAGAATCATAACCTATCCAATTAAATTTATTTGAATCTACTTTCCAATGCCACCAATTTCGCGTCAATCCAATTTCTGAGTAAAAAGTTATGACTATTTTGGTAACTTATACAATGTTGTTACGAATTAGCCAACGGAAAAACATTAAAAAGGGTTGATTTTGTTTTTTTTTTTACATCCAAGAAAACCCTAAGTGAATTCTTGACTAATAAAAGGTTCAAAACAATTAGATTTTCATATTTTAATCCATCATTCTCTTCTCTCTCAAATCCTAGGGCAAAACCCTAAGGAAAAATCAAAGTAGAAGACTCCGTTCAAGATTTCTTCAATCTTTTTCAAGATTCTTTTTCAAGGTAAGTCTTTCTCCAAGAGTTCCATTCTTTCCAACTCAAATTCCTCAATACAATTATGAATCACTAATGAAAATCATAATTCTTAGCCATAGAGATTTCAAGAAACAAATTCAAGAATCTCAAAAAAGGTTTTCTTGATCGTTTACCTTCAAGCTAGGGTTTCAAGGCTTCTAATCAAGTTCTTCTTCAAGATTCTTCAAGAAACTTTTTCTTCCAAGTATGTAAGGCTATCATTGTGTTGGACTAGTTTGTCCTCACAACCTACATCTACTTCCAGATCAGTAAAAGAGTAATCTGGGATACTTTCGCTAGATTTGAGTATTCTTGAATAAGTTGATTTCGAGTTCTTGAGTTCGTGTTTCTTTTAAAAGTTTTATTCCTAATTATCGAATTGCTATATTGTTATCGAGATCCTTCATATCATGAACCATAACTCTTGAATTCATAATTCACATTTAAGAGAGAGTTAAGAGTAGAGTTCAAGAAAGCGTTTGAGTTCAATTATGAATCCTTTGAGATCAACTATCGATTTGAACTGAGTTTTGAGGAAGTAAGTATGAGAATGAGAAGAGTCGTATACATGAGTTCCATATTATTATTTAGACCCTTGAGTCGAGTCGTTCATGACTATAAATTCTGCATGAACTCCATGAGTATCTTTGAGAGGAGTAGTATCTTCAAGTTCTAAGTCTTGAGTATTGAGTACTTAACCCCTTTTAGAGATTATATTCCTAATCATGGGACTATTACATGTTACCCATGAAGTCTTTGAGTTGAGTAGTTCATGCCTATAATTCCACATGAACCCTATGAGTCGAGCAGTCTAGAGTTGAGTGGTATCATTGAGTCTTGAGTTCTGAGTACTGAGGTTCTTTATTGCTATTGAGATCTTTAGCATCTTGCTATTTGAAAGAGCTAGAAAGAATTAGAATTGGAAAGAGTCATGTTAGGAAAGAAGGAAAAATTTGGAAAATTGGTTAAGTTAAATTAAGTTTGAGATTTTAGTCAAATTAAAATGACCATAACTCCTATATCAAGATAATTTAGATATTTTCTCAGATACTGTAGTAGGAAAGATCTTGG